GTTCAACCTTTGATCCCAGCCTATTCACCAACTCAAATGCCAGACTATTTTGTTTCTTCAGTATGCCTAGGAAAAAAGCCTAAGGGTAGCTATTTGTAAAGGGCATCTTGGAATTTTGTTAATGTTTGCTCATCTTTCTCTGAAATATCTGCTCTGTTCTGTGCCTTTTTCATTATCCAGATGCCTGCTGTCTTTCCAAAGCAGACTTTGAGGTGTTGTTGGGGGCACAGGTACCCCAGTTTATACTTCGCTCATGTCAACAGCAAGAAGGACATACCGATTGTATATACTTTGGAAATGGTCCCCAAATAGGCAGTTATGGACACATTGAAACATCACTGAGTTCATTTTTATCTGCCACTTGGGGTTTTCATATTTAACCACTTCAAGCTCATTAGTATTTGGGTGCACAGGAATGTTCATGCTGACGGGGCGAGGAAGCACTTGCAACATTACACTGTGATAATGCTCGGTGGGTGAGGCCCCCAAGACTCAATAAAGACCACTGAAAAACAATTGGTCGATGGGTCCAGAACTTCCTGTGACAGGATTCTAGGCTCATGTACCAGCTCACAAGCCGACTAAACATTTGTCTAGATTCTCTTTGTCCCGATCTGTCTTACCCTCTGTCTCCATTACACAACTGGAAAGAATTATACACAGTTAAGTTTTCATTTCTTTACCTGATGATTACACAGAACCAACTCTGAGCCAGTTTCTACACTTACAGCTCCGTTGAATCCGCGCAGCCAAGGTGATCAGGGTCCTACATGTTGAGAAATGCACCTGATATTTTGTCATTGGTCGTTACTTCTTAGCAGTATTTGATATTATAGAATATCCCTTCTGCTTGAAATACTTTGTTACTTAGCTTCCTAGTCATAATTCTCTCCTCTATTTCCTTGAAACTCTGTTTTCTGGTTCTTTTTATCTCTTTTGCATGTTTACGCTTCCTACCTTCTATTTACTCAAGCTCAAGCTTATTTGGTAAGATTTCTCTCTTCTCATTAGATACTCTCTCTCTAGGCAAACTTATCTTTGTTCATGGCTTAAAACACCACCTGCACATAGATCACTTCTGAATGAAGTGTTCACCCCAGAGCTAACTTTTGAGTTCTAGATGCATTCATTGGGCTGTCCTCAGTGACTTTACTCAGCCTCATCTCTTTTTAAAAATCACAACAAATCTTATAGTCTGATTATAAATGTCATTTTCCTGAAGCTATTAGCACAAATTTCTCCTGCTCTTTAAGCTCTCCTCCACTGCTCTAATAGCACATACTGTTCTTTTATTTTTATCATCACAATGCTGTTACCCTTTTGTTTAACAGAAGCAAGTATGTATAGGAATATCGGCAGGCTCCTGCTAAATAAAGTATTTAAGTTAGAAATAGAGACATAGATTCCCAAGTAGAGGTTGCATTACCATATTAAGAAATAGCTAAGGCAAACATTATCATTAGAGTAAATAAAAGTAAGAAAATGTTCGAGACATGGAATACTACCCCGAAGAGTAAAAGAAAAAGGAGAAATCACTTAAATATGCAGGAAAAAAAATTTCAATAACTGATGTTTGTATTGCTTTTTATAGTTTACTGATTACTTTTATGACATTATCTTCTTTAATGTAGCTCGTTCGTTTGTCTTTCACAGGTGAAGCAAATTCGATCAGGGGTTAAATTGTCCATGATAAAGATGAAAACTATAAATGATTTCAGGCCTTCAAAACCAAAAGTGTTGGTAATTTTAATATGGCTCAATTCAATAAACATGATTTAATGCATACCCTTTACAAAACATTGCATATGGCACTGTGGAAGTCGTTTTCGTAGTGGGGGTGGTCGCAGTAGCAGTAATATAGAGCCTCAGGAACTCAAAAGCAAAAGAATAATTACATGGAAATAAATCCTTTGATTCAAAGGTCACAGCAAGGGTTATATTAAAAGTGTAAAACATAGAGAAATAAGAGAAGCATATAAAAATTCTGAATCCATGTGGGAAGGCATCTTGGGGCATCAGAAAAAGTTCACACTAGCTTCTATGGAGGGAAAGAGATATTAACAGTGTGAGCAAAGAGCCACAGGCAAGAAAGGGAAACTGGGTTTCAGAGGACAACCTAAAAGACAGTAAGATTAAAAAATCCTGAGGCATGAGAATATAATCAGAGTTGAGATTGGGAAGGTAGAAAGGGACAAAATGTGGAGGATTTAAATGACTGGCCGAGGATTTTGAACTTGAGATTTTGCCCAGAGCCAGCCCTTGGCTTACGTTTCAAAAACTCAGCTGAGACAATACAAAGAAGGGAGAACCAGGATGCAAGCGTTTCGATTCACTTTACGATTGTTCAACTATTGTCAAATGTCTGATGGGTTTCGGAACACACTTTTCCACAGCTTTGAAATAGGATGACAAAGGGGTTGGACAAGCATATGCTTAATATGCCAAAGCTAAATTCCTCTAGTGAAATTTGTTTTAGAAAAGGGCGATGATCATATAGAATTTAAGAGACTTTTCATTGACTGATGATGCGTAATGGAATTCTGAAAGTCATCTCTTTCTAGTTAAAAAGAATCCATCTCTACAAAATTAATTGCTGCTGCCAATTATCTCATAAATGTTGGTAGTGTAGCTAATCATTATGAATGACCCAGAACTTACAAATCTACCAAAACGAAGACAACAGTGCATTATTCACTCCCATATGTCATACCCCATAATGGCCTGAACAAAAGCAGCTGTGAACATAATACAAAAAACAGAAAATGTGAAGGGGAAAAAAGGCCTAAGTACTTTTACCTTACTTCATGCTTCTTTGTGATCGAAGAAACTAATTTATTAGTAGAGGATTGAAAACGGAAAAGAAAATCTGAAGTTTTTGAAATACACTTTGAGTAATCTACTCTGTTTTTACTTAACAAACACATATAGCCCTTACTAAATGTTTGACACGGTTCTGGGAACTCATTGCAGCTTGCTTCTCCAAAGCCAGTAGAAGAATCTCTCCAGTTGGCTAAGATCACAGGATGACTATCCCATCATCTTTGCATATTCTATTGGCTAGAAGGAAGTCACAAATTCTGCCCACACTCAACAGAAGGAGATAATCCAAAGGCATGACTCATTGCAGGTAATCTTAGAATCCTGCCTACCCTATAGAATAAGTGTCATATTAAGATGGTTTCACATTCTTTGGTATTTAGAAACTTCCAGAGATGAAAAAGTAAATGGTTTTCAGTTCCTACTTTTGACATTCTTAAAAAGTTATCACATATTCCCCTCTTTGTATAAATGAACATATGTCCTTTTAATCCTTTTTTAAAAAAAAATACATTGATGTATTTTGAATCCTTTTCAGATTGCCCATGTTGCCAATAAACAATACAGAGAAAAAAAGTATTAAGAGGGAGAGAGATGAGAATGACCTTATCACCTTTCTAATCCATGTATCTTAATCACACATATTATCCTGAGAAATAGTTGTGATGGTACTTCAGCATATAATTCTAAATCATTCTTCTTTATGGTTGTGTAGCCAACATATAATCAGTCAAAACTTAGAACCCCAGACACTGCAATTTCTAATTAACAAATAATTTTAAAGCTTGCTTTCCCTGGATAGTACTTTAAAGTAGGAAAACAGAACACACTAGAAAGCCAGTATAGTGTATGGCCCAACCCTGTTGACTGTCTCGATATTATTCGACTAGGAAAGATAGCTATTTTCTTCTCTCAGAGCAAAATATTTCCTTTTGAGAAATTTACAGGTCCCTCAACTTTGACAAAACTAGCCAGGATATTAACAGATGAGAAATCGACTAAAGCAAAAAGGGATAAATTCAGAGATGGGGCATGAGTGGTAGACTCAAAGCACCACCAAACTTAACAATAGCAGCGGGAGGACATCATTGCAGAAGAAGGTACAGAATCTAGGAAAGAACAGGTTCCTATTCTATATCTTTTTCTCTCAAATCTGGCATTCCTCCCTTTGTTTGCTTTAGGGCTGAGACCTCCTGAAGCATCTAACATATTTTAAGTATTTCTGTGTAAACATCTAGCAAGACGTTCTAGGATTCCCATATCTTAGCTCTCTCCTATCTTTCTAGCCAAAACAGTCATCTCATTACCAATATTCCCTGTCCTGGCTCAGTATATCATGTGCTATTCCCCAATATGATTCAGTCTTCTCATCTATAAAATGGGTCTACCCTATGGGGCGCCTACCTAATTTGATAAGAAGCAAGTGAGGTTCTAGCAGCATGCCTGCCTCAGCAACTAGGTTCAGAATTAAGCTTATTTTTACACACAAAAAAATAACTCTTACTCCCACTGAATAAGTTGAACCTTGAAAAAATTGGAGAAAGACCTATTATTGTAGGTAGAGAAAAGAGGTCCAGATGAGAGCCTGACAGGCCAGCTGGACGAAGCCCAAAGAACAACCAAAACACAAATGGAGCATATTTCCTATGTGATGGGCTTGTATTTGTGACTGGCTTGCTGTCTGGCTTGCTGTAGAGTAACTTTATAAAGTATAATATTATGCTAATTGCTATAATTAAGAAGTGTTACATTCAATTATGAAAAATATTGTAGAGAATTAGGAGAATTAAGGATAGATTTGCCTAGAGAGCCATAAAAACTTCCAAAGAGAGTAAGAGCACTTGATATGTTGGAAAGAGCCATCCAGTCCAATCAGTGCCTGTTTTTCAGGTGCGAAACTCAACACCCAGAAAGTTGAAAATTACTTGCAATCACAGGGCTAAAATTAGAATTTTACCCCCCAAATAATACTCTTTCCATCATGCCTTATGGCTATACACTAATCTGTTTTTAATATTTATTTAATGCTTAAAACTTTTATTTAATAGTTTCTTTTGCACTCTGCCAGAGTCAATACCCAATCTGTCCTCTGCAAAACTTTTGGTATCTGCACTGTAGATAAATTTAATACAAGACAGAGATATGTTCATTAGATTACTCCTTTCTGCCCGTGGATGCCACAGAGTAAGCATCGTTAAAGTCTCCGCTCCCACCGCCGTCATGTCTAAGTCAGAGTCTCCCAAAGAGCCTGAACAGCTGCGGAAGCTCTTCATCGGAGGTTTTAGTTTTGAAACAACCGATAAGAGTCTGAGGAGCCATTTTGAGCAATGGGGAACACTTACGGACTGTGCGGTAATGAGAGATCCAAACACCAAGCGCTCCAGAGGCTTTGGGTTTGTCACGTATGCCACTGTGGAGGAGGTGGATGCAGCCATGAACACAAGGCCACACAAGGTGGATGGAAGAGTTGTGGAACCAAAGAGGGCTGTCTCAAGAGAAGATTCTCAAAGACCTGGTGCCCACTTAACTGTGAAAAAGATTTTTGTTGGTGGCATTAAAGAAGACACTGAAGAACATCACCTAAGAGATTATTTTGAACAGTATGGGAAAATTGAAGTGATCGAGATCATGACTGACAGAGGCAGTGGCAAAAAGAGAGGTTTTGCTTTTGTAACATTTGATGACCATGACTCTGTAGACAAGATTGTCATTCAAAAATACCATACGGTGAATGGCCACAACTGTGAAGTAAGGAAAGCCCTATCTAAGCAAGAGATGGCTAGTGCTTCATCCAGCCAAAGAGGTCGAAGTGGTTCTGGAAACTTTGGTGGTGGTCGTGGAGGTGGTTTCGGTGGGAATGACAACTTTGGTCGTGGAGGGAACTTCAGTGGTCGAGGTGGCTTTGGTGGCAGTCGAGGTGGTGGTGGATATGGTGGCAGTGGGGATGGCTATAATGGATTTGGTAATGATGGTGGTTATGGAGGAGGTGGCCCTAGTTACTCTGGAGGAAGCAGAGGCTATGGAAGTGGTGGACAGGGTTATGAAAACCAGGGCAGTGGCTATGGCGGGAGTGGCAGCTATGACAGCTCTAACAACGAAGGAGGCGGAGGTGGCTAGAGCGGTGGTAGTGAAAGCAACTTTGGAGGTGGCGGAAGCTATAATGATTTTGGCAATTACAACAATCAATCCTCAAATTTTGGACCCATGAAAGGAGGAAATTTTGGAGGCAGAAGCTCTGGCCCCTATGGTGGTGGAGGCCAATACTTTGCCAAACCACAAAACCAAGATGGCTATGGTGGTTCCAGCAGCAGCAGTAGCTATGGCAGTGGCAGAAGGTTTTAATTACTGCCAGGAAACAAAGCTTAGCAGGAGAGGAGAGCCAGAGAAGTGACAGGGAAGCTACAGGTTACAACAGATTTGTGAACTCAGCCAAGCACAGTGGTGGCAGGGCCGAGCTGCTACAAAGAAGACATGTTTTAGACAATACTCATGTGTATGGGCAAAAAACTCGAGGACTGTATTGTGACTAATTGTATAACAGGTTATTTTATTTTATTTTAGTTTCTGTTCTGTGGAAAATGTAAAGTATTCCAACAAAGGCTTTTAATGTAGATTTTTTTTTTTTTGCACGCATGCTGTTGATTGCTAAATGTAATAGTCTGATCATGACGCTGAATACATGTGTCTTTAAAAAAAAATTTAATACAAGACAAATTTATCAAGGTTAAAATCATTTGAAAGGTATTTATTTTGATTTCCAATATGCATTTATTATTTGCAAGTAAAGAAAGTACGTATTTTGAGTAAAATGTCAGCTTTTTCCATGACCAAGTTATTTTGGATTTAACCCAAGTAAGAGCTAGAGTAGGTTAATATAAGGATTTTCATTAAAATTTTTCTGCATTTGTCATCCCAACGAAAAGATGCTCAATATCTAGGAGAGAGGAAGAGTCCATTATATACCACACTTAATAAATTCAAGTTTCAAACTTATGGTTACCATTAAAATTGAAACTCTGGTCCATCTAGTGTTGACAGAAATCAATGAAAAAGAGAATGCAACCAAACTTACCAACATTTGAATAGGTTCTTTTTTAGGTGACTAAACCTAAGGTGAAAAAAGTAGAATCTAAACTATTATTTAAACTTGGATAGAAAACTCAGCATGGCTTAGCGAACCATTTTTTCCCTACTTTATCCAATTTTAAAATTACATTTGCTTTTCAAAACCAAGTATAATTAGTATTTTCCATGAAAAAATAAAAAGAACTAGTTTTTAGTTGTGACATATAACATACTAGACACTTTCCCAGATATTCTTTTTTAATCCTATGAACAACATGTATGGAAAAATCTGGGATAAACAATGTTGAGGGTCTCACACAAGTTAGTAAGTAGTACAGCTGGAATTCAAACCTAGGGTTTGTGTCACATTTGAAATTAAGGATTTTAATGATGTGTTCTTAATACTTCTATCTTTAAGGTGGAATATCATAGTCAATAATTTGCTTAAAGTGGTATTCAGAAAAAGGTGATGGCTATGTCTTATATCTATCCCACAAACACTACAGCATGTGTTCTGTGTAGTGACAAGTACCCAATTGTATGTGTGTGTGTAACTGAGAGTTTTAATGAGTCCCTGAGGAAAGGGTTTATTGCAAAGGGTATTAGAAATCTGTATCCTTGATGCCAAGGAAGGAAGATGAGATAAGTGGTTGGCTATCAACACAATGCTTATCCCTTCTAATTCTGTCTGAGAGGATCTTAACATTTTCCTCAGCTTGACTAAACTTTAGACAGCCTTCTTTTTTTTTTTTTTAATTTTGTTTATTTATTTGACAGAGAGAGAAACAGCGAGAGAGGGAACACAAGCAGGGGGAGTGGGAGAGGGAGAAGCAGGCTTCCCGTTGAGCAGGGAGCCCGATGCGGGGCTCGATCCCAGGACCCTGAGATCATGACCTGAGCCAAAGGCAGTCGCTTAACCAACTGAGCCACCCAGGTGCCCCAAGACAGCCTTCTTCTTGATTCTAGGCTCCTGACTTGATTTTCTTAGAGCATTTACTTGAGAAAACTTGTCATTCTAAACTATTCCTCTGCCCACTTGAGATTTAAGTTTTTTGAAAACCCTCTTGCCAGTTTTACAACCCAGGCATATCTTTCTCAAGGACCTGGGGACCATCCTTTTGAAATGTAATCATCAGGGAAGATTCTGCCACCATCTCCCAGTCTCTCTGAGGGAGAAGGAGCCTAACTTCAGTGTGTGTCTTGCTCAAATTTTTAAAACTACCTCCTGTCAAAGACGCTAGAAGTCTACTTTTCCTTGGGTGAAGCCAGTTAGAAAACACAGATGGCCTGTGTTCTCCCCGGGGCCGGCGGGGCGGCGGGGGGCGGGGGGGGGTGCTGCATTCTTCTTGCCATTTGTTCCAGTGGAATGAATTCTGACTGAGTTCTGGTCTCTTTCCTCTCTTGAATGAAGTCCTCCTTGCCTGGTGCAATTTTTGCTTTGATAGTTTCTTCCCTGCATCACAGAAGTAAACAGAAAACTTCATTTCCCAGAATCTCTTGCTAGTAGAGTTCTGATAGATGTCACCAGTGAAAGAAAGTCACACAAGATTTGCAATGCAAGGAAACCACAAGCCATGAGTCTTTCTCGGCTATAGCAGGCAGATGTGTGGGCTTTGTCAGACCTCTGTGCATCTGTCAGTGAGTTACCAATCTTAATGCAGACATGTACTGTGACCACTGTTGGCAATGTCTTGACCTGGGGCAGTAGTAACTTTCTGACACTCTGTGGGTTATCAGTCACCCTAGCAATAGCTTTTCCTGACCAGTTCTGCAACCCTTGTAATGATTTTCTAAGTACCTAATTCCCTGTGTTAAATCTCCTCTTTCTTGAGAAAAGTAGAGTGTTTTCTATTTTCCTAACCAAACCCTGACTATAGCAGAAACAAGAGAAATAACTGACTGATTTTTTTTTCTCATTAAATCCCACTTATAGAATCTCATCACTATGCTAGTAAAAATAGAGAGAAGCTTTGAGTTTGGAAAAAGAAATACCTAGCAAGATTCTCTGTTACTTTCTAGGCATTTACACTAAGGCAGATTCCTCTCATGTATCTGGAGACAGCCACACTTGGCAGAAGTACGTAGACCATGCTCCATTCATGATGACTCCGTAACAGGACCCAAACCAAAAGCTGTACCTTGTGGATCTTCTTTGTCAATCACTTTTAGCAAGTCTCAGCCTTTTCCACTAAGTTTTGCCACATATATTTAATTTTAACTAGTGTTACTTCTCTGCAGTCTGCATTGTGAAACTGTCCTGTTCTGTATCCTTATTTGTTAATTTTTCTCTTTACAACCCCAAATTCCATCTTCTCTAATGGTAATGCCCAGCTAACATCATAGCATACACATTGAGAGGGGCAAATAATAAGCTATAAACTGCCAGTTGCAGAGTTCAAGAGGTTCATGTCTCATGTTCACAATTCAAATTATAAAAATCCTTGTCATATTATTTTTCAAATCACCTCAATTTATCCTAAAACTAATAGTCTCAGAGAGAGCCCTTTTTCCTCCCAAATATTGAAATAGGTTAGCTTTAATATATAGAAAGTGACCTATACAGTTCTTTAAAGTATATAATTTTTCCTTTTTTAACATGAAAAGATATTATTGTCTGAACAGAAAATATCCATGTTTTCAGCATTACTTTAAAGATAATCACATACTTTAAATATATATTATTATAGTGGTCATTATTATTAGGGGACTGATAATTAATTTCCTATTTACTATTAGAAGGGGTTACTATGACTCATTTTATTTTATCTTTTTAAAAGATTTATCTATTTATTTTGAGATACAGAGACAGAGAGCATGAATGGGAAGGACACAGGGAGAAGAAGAGAGAATCCCAAGCCGACTCCATACTGAGCGTGGAGCCCAGTGTGGGGCTCGATCTCACGACCCCAAGATCATGACCTGAGCTGAAACCAAGAGTCACTCGCTTAACTGACTGCAACCACCCAGGCACTCCTCCATGAGTTATTTTAAAACTCCTTAAAAACTTTTCTTAATTGATTTTATTTATTTATTTGAGAGAGAGATGGAGATAGTAAGAGAGAGCATGAGCAGGGAGGAGAGGGAGAAGCACGCTCCCTGCTGAGCAGGGAGTCTGATGCAGGGCTCGATCCCAGGACCCTGGGATCCTGACCTGAGCTGAAGGCATACGCTTGACCAACTAAGCCACCCAGGCGTCCCACTTCTCCAAAACTTTTATAGTATATTTTGCTTCCTCACTTATGAAAACCTAATTCAGTAAGTCATTTTCTCCCTTTTAAGTAATTTATTTAAATTCTGATTTAGTGTTGTAAGGTTTTATTCTCTTTTTTCCTTCGTCTTCTTGAAAATGACAACAAAAAAAAGGACTGAGATTAGAAAGACTAGACATCTAATCAGTTCCACATATTTCAAAGGAAGAAGTCACTTTGCTGCAAAGGGGATCTGATGAAGAGCTCTTGCATAAAGCTAAATAAGCTCTGTGACAATTAATGGCAGTAACAGAAGAGTGGACAGAGGAAGGGAATGAATAGTTTTGTGAACCTAGAAAGGTAGAAATACTGGAGTCATAGAGGTGATGACATCCTCTGGACATCACATAAATTGTAATAAGAAAATGACAATTAAAAAATATTATTTCCCTTAAACCTTAGTATGTTTTTCATTCCAATCATGGGAACATATAATTTAAATAAATGCATAATATTACTGAATATCCATTTTTATACCAAGGTACCTAGATACTAGAGTTCATTTACTTGTATAACTTAACATTAAAAAAAATCACCTAAGGTGTAATAAAGTTAATGAATATGCCTGATATAAAATATATTCGTTAACTAAATATATTATGTGTTCACAACAACAAAAGTTGTTTAAAATGTCTGAAAATGTCCACTAGCATTAGAACTACATTTTTGAATTGGCGTCTTTATCCAGAATGTAAGAACTGAATAAAAATGTCTTTTATTTTTTGCATGTCTATCATTTGGATGCAAATTAACATTTTAGATTATCAGGGGTCTGCTTACTCCCAGGAAATACACATTGTGATTAATTTCAGAATTCCAAATAAAATGATGTGAAGGAATGTACATTTGTTTAAAAAAATATAAGAACTAATTTTCTAGTTAAAAGGGAGAAAAAGCTAAAGATTTTTTCTAAGAAAGCTCATACTGAGATTAAGTAACATTTTAGGGAATGGGGAGGTCTTTGCTTCTTAGACTAGTTTCTCTTGCTCTTAGACTAGCTTCTAGACTAGACTGATAACTTTCCAAAGG